CTATGGTGATGCCATGTGGTTGTAATAGTCTGTTGGTAGTTTCTGAGTCTGTTGGTAGTTTCTGCCATACATCAGAAACATCTTTTACAGTAATATATTTCAAACTTAGGCCATGGTTCAGTCTGCATGGACAGACTGCATGGTATTTATTTAAATATCAACAATGCTTGGACCAGGAGAAAAGAAGAAGACTCCCAAGACCTCACAATGTTCTGGGACTCAGGTTAGTTCTCTGTTAGTATGTATCTCTCTGTTACTGTGCATGGAAGAAAGATGCAAGTATAAAACCCAGAATATCCAGTTACATTCTAATCGCTAAGTAGCCCCAGGCAAAAAAACTTAGATTCCATTCCTAATAAGTTAGTATGTCTATAGAAAGAACTGTAACCAATTTCCAACCTAGAAAAACAAGTTACACAATATGAAACCATCTTCACAGTAAAATACTGTATACTGTGTAAATATTCTATATTAAGATATAATTGCCAATTGAGATACCACCTGCCTGAATTCTGTTGGTATTATAGTGAGACAAATATTTGGAAAACTATGACTCAATCCTGTGAAGAATACGAATGTTACCTGGCGCATATTCAATATATACTGTTTTACTCAAGACTTTTGTTATAATGGGTTATACCAGTATTCCCACCTTGATACTCTCTTGATGAGACTGAATTTACAACTCTGAGAATGACTGGCTGATGGGAGTTGTAGTCTCAGTATAGGTGAAGGATATCTAGACTACAGAATGCTGAAATGTACCATGTTCAGAGCTACATTTGTTAGCAATTCAGTTAAGTCAAAATGGTTGGTCAAAGTTGATAACAGATTAAAACAGCAGTGAAAAAAATGTTTTTATAATAAGTTTATTAAACGTTACAATAAAAAAACTAAAAGCTAATACAAACTAAAAATAATAAGAGTAGAAAGAAAAAATAGAAAGTGCAGACAAGTAAAGAAAAAAGAATAGAAAGAAAAATAGAAAAGAAAGAAAAAATAAGAATATAGTAAAGAAAAAGAAATTATATATATATAATTAT